GTATGTATCATGCTGCTCGAATGAAAATGTACTTTTGTCTTCATTTGATTAATAAACTAACGATCTAGCCTGGCTATAAGTATACAAAAAAAAATATATATATATATAATATTGTCCTCAAAATTAAACTTAGAATACTTATATATAAAGATGAATTAATTATTTTATGAAAAATCTGTAACTTATTATAGATTTTATTTCAATTTCTTAATAAAGACATACTATTGTGACATAATTGTGGGTTAAAAAATAAAATAAAATAAATTTAATTATATTTTGAAATTAAAAAAATTGATTAAATAATTACAAAGTAATATTATATATAAAAGAAATAACAAGATTTTATTAGATCTACAGATCAATAGTACAGTGGATGCACTCCCAAGTTACTATCTGTAAGTTACTGATTCAATCCCATCTAGGAATAGTTTTTGCAATATAGGTTATATTGTATAAGATGTATGCTTATCATTACATATACCCTTGTACTTACAAATAACCCATAGATTTAAAAATAATAAATAAAAAATTTAAAAATTTAAAAATAAAATATAATTTTTTTATATATTTATAGTAGTAGTCAAAAATAATTAAAATTTTGATTATGTGATTTGATTTGTTACATTTCAAAAATTTTATAGTATAATATAAAATTTTTTTTATTATTGATAAACTAAATATATATATAAATAATTATATAATGTATAAGCCACGTATTATATATATTTGTCACACAAATTTGCCATATGTCATCTCAATCAACATTTGCAAACCAATAAATGATTATAAGACTATTTTGGAAGAATAAAGTTTATGAATCAAAAAAATAGTAGCAATAATTCATATATCACTTTCTACTATCTATCTCTATATAATCAAACTCAAAAAAACTGAAAACTTGTTCTCTTATATTCACTCTAGTCGACCAAAAATTATTTTCATTAAGTAATATCATTATCTGAATCAGATTGTAAAACATCAAGCTAGTGTTACCTCTATTGAACTTACAACACATCTTAATAAAACATATTGTAAATTGAATATATCAGTATAGACAATATATTATGAACTTATAGCTCTTAATTAAAGATAAATTATCTTTGACATATACTATTATTAATACTTATACATATTGAAATTCATTAAAATTGAGTATTTTATTATTTTAATAATTATTAGAACCAAACAATTTTTTCTGACGAGGTAATCTTCCAGATGTTTCAAAACATCCAATTAGTCAAGTATAAAGTCAGTGTAGAGTCACAACCACAAAAGGCAATAATAAAACACCTATATAAGATTCACATATGAATAGCATTTTTTATACAAGGTTCGATTGGATTTCATATGTTTACAGGGACTCTTACAACTATTAAGTATTGTGAAATTTTTACTTAACATCTTTTTTCACATACTTACAAGGCTGGGGTATGATGATACTTTCAATAAAACAATGTGTCTATGCATATAGCCAAAATTACTAAAAAACTATTGAATTTTCATTATGTTCGTATTATCAATTAGCCTACAAATAGCTCTGATCTGAATTCTATTAAGAATTTGTGGATAATTTTAAAGGGAAAGGTCAAAAAACAAATGAATATTTATGTTGCAGAAAATCATCATATATTTATAAATGAGTTTTAATAAATTATTGCAAAAGAATGGAAAAAAATTGATTGAAATTTATATCTCAAATTAATAAATTTAATGTTTAAGCATTTAAATAATGTAATTAAGTTAAAGAGTAAAAAATAAAATATTAAAAAAATTTTACCTTAAAATTAATGTACTGTATTAAGATATTTAAATATACAAAATTTAAAAAATTTTTAAATAAATTTTCAAGCATAATAGCCAATTTAAAATTCTCATTATTTTTGATCACTACTATATTTCAATAATTAAATAATTTAACTATTTTTTATATAGTAATTTATAATTTAAACTTTAAAATAAATAATTTTTTTTATTAAAATAAATAAAGCATTTTAATTTTTGAAAAAAAATTTTTAAATTCGCAAAACTCGATAAAATTCTAAAAAGAGAATTTAATTTTATTTATACTATTTTTTCAAATAACTAATAAACTGATTTTAATAAACTTTTTTTTATATAATAATCCCTAATAATCTTTAATGTAAGTGTTTTTATATTAAATTTGATTAAGGATTGATTTCAAGCATTTATTAAAACATACAGTATATAGTCAATCTAATAACAGGTTAGACCACGTGAATTTTGCATATCAACATTTTTTTTGATAATCATAGAAAATTTTCAAGGTTTCCAAAATGGTCAAGTCGTATTTGAGATTCGAGCCCTGGAAAACCTTTGGCATCATTTCTAGCTCCTCCTCGAATACAATTTTCTCCAGTGAAGGTACGTTCGCAGTCGCTCCCGCATTAGAAGATGTCATTATATGGGATTTAAAAAAAGGCACACAGGCTTGTATCTTAGAATAAAAAAAGAAAGAGAGAATTCCTATATGAAAATTCTTATTTACATGGTATCTAACTGTCATTTTAATGTATATAGAAAAGAAAATGGAATGACACCGATAATAAATCAGAAGTAACCGTGATTGCAAAAAGTCCAAACAATAGCGACTATGCTGTAGGGTAGAGTAACAATTACACTTTATTCAATGAATCTTGTTGCGGTAAAGGAAGCATCGATTTGCTAAAAGTGACGGGTCATCTGTAGGTATGCCGATGGATCAATTCGGATATGGAATTTGGAAAGATCAACCAATTCGCTTATTTTCAATGGGCATCGGGGTTCGGTAACTGCCCTGACATTTGATAAGACTGGAACGAGATTGGCGTCCGGATCAAAAGATACCGACATAATCCTCTGGGACTTAGTTGGTGAAATAGGGCTCTTCAGGTGGATCAGAAAAAGTCTTGGAGGATATATCGATCTTTATAATTGATCATCTCTGCAAAAATTCTTTCCAGGATGCGCGGTCACAAGGATCAAGTTACGTCAATTCGATTTCTTCCTAGGTATTTGTCGAGCGATTCGTTAAAGACAGACGAAGTTTCATCGCCGGGATATCTTATTTCGTCTTCAAAAGATACGCTTTTAAAACTATGGGATCTTGGCACTCAACATTGTATGGAGACCGTAGTAGCACATCGGAATGAAGTGTGGGATTTTGATATATCAAGGGATTGGAAGATGATGATAACTGGTAGTGACGATAGCGACATGAAAGTTTGGACGATCGATCATGGCGTGCTTGCAAAAGGACTCGGTATAGAAAGCGAGAAAAATGAGGAAAGTTCAGAGGTAGGTTTAGTTAATTGTATTCGGTGAAAGCGTGATTGTGCATTTAGTCTTGAGGGATCGTTTATTTTCATTTTTGTCTGAGAATAGATCGAAAGAGTTATTAAATTTTACGGAAGTGTGAAAAGACAGGGTAAGGACCGCGTTATCACACTAAAGTTTCATCCTTACGCCAGTATATTGGGAGTACAGGGTCCGGAAAAATTCGTTGAGATTTTTCGAATTCGTACTCCAGAGGAAATAAGGAAGAAAATAGCGCGTCGTAAGAAACGACAAAAAGAAAAGAAACAAAGGGTCGGAGTTACAACCATGGATGAAGACATTGAAGACAATAATGACGAAGAGATTAATGCAAGCGATTTGATAACACCATACCAGATCGTTCGTGCGAGTGGAAAAATACGTTCCTTTGATTTTACGGGAAATGAAAAGAACCCAAAGGCTGATTCCATACAGGTTAACCTCGAAAAGTGAACTCATTCATTATTTTTGTTTGTGTTTTTAACATGCAAATTTTCTAGGTCCTCATTTCTTTGACAAATAATGCGCTCGAACTATATACGCTAGACCTTTTTTCTAAAAATAAAGAGAAAGGATTGAATGAACCGGAAAGGCTTTACTCCTTGGACATACCTGGTCATCGTAACGATATTAGAACTTTGGCATTAAGTTCGGATGATGAGTTGTTGTGTTCTTGTTCAAAGAGTATGTCCATTCGTTCTCAATTTATTACGTTCTAACGAGAGGACAGAAAAGTAACCTTACCTTTTTCTTTAATTTCACCAGGCGACCTCAAAATATGGAATATTAAATCTTCTTCGTGTATAAAAACGATAGAATGCGGTTATGCACTGAGTTGTTCATTTTTACCCGGAGATCGATATGTGAGTCTTCGATTGTCGATACAACAATACTTTGAGTATATTCATTTATCTCCAAGATTATCACATAGGTCATTGTCGGTACAAAATCTGGACACCTGGAACTATTTGATCTCGCATCTTCGTCTCTAATTGAATCTATCGAGGCGCACAGTGGCCCCGTATGGTCTTTACAAATTCGCCCAGATAAGCGCGGAATGGTTACAGGCAGTGCCGATTCGAGTGTCAAATTCTGGGAATTTGACTCCTCATTGGAGAATGAGGTTCGCGGCAAATTGATAAAGGCACTCTTTAGCTTCGTTGATTTCCCGGGAGCACATTTTGTAACATCAATTTTTCACAACATAGGCGGAAGTCCATCGACTAAATTTAGTTCACTCGCGTACACTGAAATTATCCGACGACGTTTTGTGCGTTCGTTATAGTCCCAATCAGAAATTGATAGTGGTTGCGCTATTGGACGCGACCGTTAAGGTATTTTATAATGATACATTGAAATTCTTTCTATCATTATACGGACACAAGGTAATTTGCAATTGTTATCAGCTATCATTTACGCACAAACACAAGCCTAACTATTTTCATGGTAGCTACCTGTGTTGTCAATGGACATTTCTTCTGACAACATGTTGTTGGCGACTGGTTCAGCGGATAAGAATATTAAAATATGGGGTCTCGACTTTGGCGATTGTCATAAGTCGATATTTGCTCACCAAGATAGCATAATGTGTGTTCAATTCGTATCCAACACGCATTACATTTTTTCTTCAAGTAAAGACAAGTTAGTTAAATATTGGGATGGTGATAAGGTGAGAATGTCTTCTATCAATTGTCATCTTTTTTTTCCATCATACGGAAACTGCTGTAGACTGATGAGCCATAAAATTTTTATGAAGTTCGAAAATATCCAGAAACTCGAAGGACACCACGGAGAAGTGTGGAATTTGACAATCAGCAATCGTGGTGATTTAATTGTTTCTGGATCTCATGATCGATCTATAAGAGCATGGGTGCAAACGGACGAACCGGTAATTGATAATAGTGCTTAATTAGTGTTGTTGATCATTGAAATTAGAAATATTGTCAGTCTCATCACCGACTTCATGGATTGTAGTTGTTCCTCGAAGAAGAACGCGAGAAGGAAATGGAGGAACTCTATGAGTCCACATTGACAACTTCTATGGAAAAAACCAGCCTCGAAGATAATATCGCAGGAAAACAAACCATGGAAACTCTCAAAGCTGGGGAACGCATAATCGAAGCATTAGACATTGCGGATGAGGATGCGGCAAAATGGAAAGCCTATCATCAGGTATGTTGTTCAATAATGCCTTATATTAGGCATCTTTGAATCGAATTTACATTATTTTTATTAGATCAAAGAGCGAGGCCAGGATCCTGGACCACCCCCCAAACCGAATCCTGTACTCGTCGCGCTTGGAAATCTGACGGGAGACCTGTATGTACTCAGAACTATCGAAAAAGTGAGGCCTTCGGAGTTAGAAGAGGCCTTATTGGTCATACCATTTACCAAAGTTATCTCGTTATTAATATACTTGGACTCATGGGCCAAGAAGGTTATTTTTTTTTTTTTTCCTTTGTCGGCACAAGGACCATGAGATTCTTTTTTTGAAAAACAAAAAACTTAAAATTTTTAGGGATGGAATATGGCATTGACTTGTCGCGTATTGGTTCACCTTCTCAAGGTTCATCACGATCAATTCGTTGCTAACCGACTATTAAGACCAAGATTAGACTCTCTTAGAACACATATTCGGACTTCGTTGAAACTTCAGAAGGTCTAGCACAATCTTACATCATTCTAGTTCAAAAATATTCTAACGTTTTCTTAATTATTAAATAATTGTATTACGAACATTAATCTCGACAGGACGTACAAGGTTATAATCTAGCAGCGCTCAAATACGTCAGACACGACTGGGAATCAAATAGCTCGGCAGAATTCTTTGAAGATTTACCAGAAGACGGAGAATCAGAAAATGGATCGACGAAAAAACGAAAATTCATAAACTTGACGACGTGACGCGCATAATTATGTATGCATCTTACCTATGCGTTAGCTATCAGTTGCCCAATCCCCTGCTAAAAATAAAGCGAAAGAATTGTCTAGACCTTAAATGATGATTAATTTAATAGCAAACATTTTCTTGAGCAACTTGAATAACCATTAGACAAAAAGTTTAATTATCCCTCGTGATTGCTAAAAAAATAATAGCATGCTTTATTGAGTTGAAAAATATATATATATATATATATATATAATATAATATAATTTAAACCGAATAGTTTTTTACGAGAATAGAATAAAAAAAATTCACGCAAAAGACGTCACTGATTTTTCACCGAGGTGCTCCGACCTCGAGTTCAGCCGCCAATTCAGCTAACCCTTGTTTCCTAGACACTTTGCCAACATATCCAAGTTCTTTAACAGCGCTTTCAGTTTGCAATCTGTAATCTTTAAACAGACAGAGCAGAGGTTCCCTGCTCATTCCTTCCATCACCCATTTCCTACCATATCCAAGAAATGGTATCCACTCGACGGCGGTGATCGTCCCCCAAACCAGCCACCTAGGTAATCTAAAATTTTTGAAGGGTCTTGGAGGTTTTATATTATACGCAGTTCCAACATATGATTCAACGAAATCTTCCATTTCGATTTCTCCTTCAGGATCTTCAATCTCGTAGACTTTCTTTGGTGGTGTTGTGTCACCAGTGGTGGTGGTGTCAGCAGAGACCTGATCTTTCGAAATTTTGCAAGCAAGATAGATCGACTCACAGGCGTTATCAATGTGCAGAGTCGAGAGGGGATAACTAGCGGGAGTGACCTTCCACGCGGGGTTCATACAAAGGCTATATAGTTTAGGCAATAGTACACTATCATTTTTACCCCATAGCCAACCCAATCTAAGAATAATTACATCCGTGAGAGAGGATTTTCGGACAAGATATTCGCTGTTGAACTTTGATTTCGAATAAGGAGCCCAGTCTGGAATGGTGTCTTCGGAGAAATGTCGGTTTATGAGGGCGGTGAATGAAGAAGTGTAAATTAAACGTGGCTTATGCGGCATGGACTCGATAATTGAGAGTAAGCGACGCGTTCCTTCGACGTTATTCTTTTGAAATTCTTCATAGATTCCCCACGGTTGAACCTTGAAAACGGTTGACGGTGAAAGTACATTTAAAATATGTCTGTTAAAAGATTGCCAAGATCAGATGAATAAAACTTTTTTTTTTTTACCTTTGCCGCCATGTGAATGACAATGTCAACTCCATTTAATCCCTCCTTAATTGCGTCCTCATCATGAGTACTTCCTCGAATAATTTTGATTCTATCTTTACCATCCTCGATGCCCTTACAAGCATTGAGGATTTTTTCATCTGAAATACTGGATCTTGATAATGTTTTAATTTGAGAGCTATCCTCGTGGGTTAATATGTAATTTATAAAGGAGGTTCCTAGAAAGCCAGAACCACCGGTCAAAAAGATCCTCATTTTAAATTTGATAGAGTTATGAATTGCTTATATCACTTATTTATATGGTGCTATACGCATGTGACTCATGTATCGAACAAACAATAATGTGCAGTGAATACGAATAATTACATGCTTAATATGTACAAAGATTTCCATCCAAAGGGTTTCGACATTAGCGAATAATAGAAGTCGTCTACTACTTTTAGCTCCATAACTTGGAACAATGCTGTAGTTTTGGTGATCACGACCGATTACGCAAACGAATGAAAATGATGACTAATAGCTATTTCCCCTATCTCCATTGTAGCCCACATAGGTCAAAGCCACTTTCGGGTCTTCAATGATTTCATTTAAATAAAACCTTCTGTGTGTTACCTACGTAACTAAAGTTGGAGATTTTTAATTTTAAGATCGCGAAAATCCATTACCATTTAGTTGTTGAAAGGGAGTGCGTATGCATAAAAACTCTCAATTTGTGATAATTACTTACATGGAACAAAACGGGGCGCGTTTGCATTAATTTTTAACAATCTAATAGATGAGGCTGCGGGACAAGGGCAAATAGATGTTGGCGCATTAACGTTAGAACCTAGTTTAAGAATAGTACCTTCCCTATGTACCACATATATTACAAACTTTGGAAACAATGGAAGGAAATATGTGTACGTATGTGCGCACGCACAGCATTCTCCGTATTGTTATATTCCAAAAAAAAAGTTTCCTGTCATTAGAAATTTATGCCTTACTGCCCGAGTTCCAAGCACCAAGTATGACGACTCGCTGCAAGGATTTCAAGAATAGACCCGCTGCAATATTCGCCAAGAAGAGCCGATAATTCGTGGATACAAATATCAGCCCACTTGGATTCGTGGTTACCCTTGTAATGCAATTTTGGAATATCTATACTTGAATTTATTTTTCAAACACCAATTTCATGGTTTCACATTACGTATTTGCAGCATATTGAATGTCAAAACAATAACAACTTTGAGGAATTCAAGCTCGTGATATTTCGGTAACATGATTGTGCTGTCTACTTTCAAGTTTCCGTGAGTATTCATTCTCATTCTTATAAAGAGGTACAAATAAAATAGTATGGGGCTTTTTTTTTTTTTTAAGTAATATTTTTTTTTATTTTCTTGGTCAATCTAACATTTAATATCCTACAAGGCGGTAGGTAGTAAACAAAATACAATAGGGATTAGAATCCTCTTTGCGCATACATATTCTATTTTGTATACGCACGTAATTGAGATCAACAGCATTGAGTAAAAGTCTATTGTTTGTATATAGTCTTTCTCCTACCCCGGTCTAAAAGTTCCGATCTTTACGCCAAGAAAAAAAAACCTATATATATTAGATTCGACATACATTTGGAAATTCTTGGCGGTTTCTCTGGACATTTTCCCTTCATATAAAATTTAGGTATAAGAATATCAGGAGCGCAAGTAGGTAATAATAGAATGGACACGTCAGATTTTCAGAATTGCGAGTAAGTATTTTATCGTAGTAGGGACTCCGTTTGCATTACCACTCTTGATTTCTCATCTCTTCTTTACTCCTTCTCGGTGCATCTAGATGGACTTTAAATGTGACCGGTTGCATTGGTCAAGATTTTTTCCAAGTGGTCTACGGAGTAACGATCTATCTATCCTTATTTGTATTTTTATGTGCCATTTGGCTGCTATCTTGGAGACTTTACAGTCGGCCGGATTCAAGATTGTTTAGTTTGAAGGGATTCCTGGCCCTGGAGGGTTTCTTGTTTACCCAAATATTTTGGGGTGGTGGTACGTTATACCTAATGGTAATATTGTTGTTACTTCGTCCATCAAAATTCTAAAATTCAACAATCTCTCCAACACGTTAGCTCGAATGGTCAGTTGCCTTATACTATTATACAACATTTCGCCCACGAGCATGCTGTTACGAGAAATGTCATTCGACATCACGTGGTTTCTGGGAACGGTTTCGGTGGCAACCTACCTTGCCGCAATCCTAAGAACCATTCCTCGTATGCGTTTTTACCGCCAAAAGTCACACCACAAGCGTACACCTCGCCTACCCAACATTAGGGTCATGGCGAGCGTGTATGCTACTTTTGTAACAGCATTAGGGACCATGGTGATAGTGTGTTCTTTTTTCATAGGGTATCTTCGGGATAGAGCAAGGCCCGATCCATACTCATCAATACACTCAAAGTCCCTATCAATTTTGATGGCTATTCAATACACAATACAATCGATTTCTTGTTTTTTGATTGCCATTGCGTTCTTGATTTATGGAAACAAATTAATCAAGATTGCTAGTGAAGGACTGAGCTTGTTTGAAGACTTTAATGGATATCCGACAACTCCAACATCCAATAGATTTTCATATTCTACTATTGGTATCAATAATTCTGAAGATTTTGAACGAAGACATTGCCAACTGAAGCGAAGTATTATCAAGGTGTTTACCTATCACATTATCACTGGCGTTTATCTTTATTATTACATATGCATGCCATAACCAATCCTCTCGTTTACTATCCTATTGTTCAGATGCACGTCTTAAATCTCGCCTTTACAGCCAGCCTTGCAATATTAGGCACCTTTATCGGACTTTTCGCGTTCTTTCACGAATCAATTTTCGAGAACCTAACTCTTAGCGAAGCGTCTGCCGCGTTGGATAATTGGATACCAATGATTCTCAATGTTTTTGTGATGGCCGGGATCGCTTATGGGTGGGTATATACGTTTGTGCGTCTTGCGAGATTCCAATGAAGATTAACACCCTTCTCTCTTGTCCGACAACAGTGAGATTCGAATTCCCGACAAGTCTGAGCCAACCCTTGCGAATTTAATATACCCAACAACGCCAACAACACCACGGCGACACTCATCCGACGAGGAGCTGCCGATCACTATCACCACCACCACATCTTCCTCATCCACACAAACAACTGATGGGCGGGTGTCGTTCCACACTAGAAACCTATCGACCGATTCTGACTCTCCACTACTGAGCTGGCCAATACCAAAGGCAGTGGTACCAACGCATATACGCTCAAATGAACTAACTTATATGTCACAGTATGTTAACGGCAATTCTTCGACATCTTTGTTGGATGATTCCGCCGCTAACACTACTGCCTCAATGGCGAAAATGACAAATCATACCACATCTTTATGATTTTATTTGTTCTAAAACACATCAACAAAAATTTAATTTTTTTTTTTAAAAAAAGGAAAGGAAACGTATGTATGTACATTTTCAACCAACATCGCGTCTTTGTAAATATCATGCATTTAGTGCGAAATACATTATTTTTCCAAGGTGTAGGCTATGGTAGTAAACTTCAAGTTTTTTTTTTTAGCCTATGCATATATATAGTCGGTACATTTTCTTAAACATCTGAACTAGCATTTGCTGGTTTAATTATTTATTTTCAACCATTTGACATACATTTGTAATATTCGCATACCAAGATTTAATCATTCGTTCAAAAAGCACTTCCAAAGAATCCTAAGTATTACACTTCTAATAAAAAAAAAAAAAAAAAAAAATCATATAATAATAAAAACCTATCGCGTTAGTTTATAAACAAGATTGTGTTTATCAGATTAATAATGGTCAAATGACTTCCCATACGTGTTTCATTGAAAGTTGTGTTGTTTTATTATGTGATTTAAAGAAAGTTTCCCAAATGATGGTTTTTTAGGGTAAACAAGCCGGAAATATTTATTGGATGATCTTATACTGTATACAGCTAATAAATTTCTCAAGCAATTATGTTAATCGACAATAAACATACAGTATGAATAAAATAGGGCTTGGGCTTAGATTCCATTTAAAGAAAAAATAAAATGGAAAATAAAAGGTATGCATAAATGATTCTGCCAAATATAGTATAACCAAAAGATTAATAGGAGACACAAAGGGCACGAGCACAATATCAATGAGTGGTATTCATACGATAATACCTTAAGCACAGCATATTATTATAAACACAAAAAACTTATATTATTATTATTTAAGTTAATCAAATTGTACAGTCGTCTCAAAAAGTAAGGTCCGATTTTGAAATCGAGGTTAAAGATTTACGGGATCACGTTTTATTTTACTTTATGCGCTTTACTTATTTTTCAGCTAATCATTTCGTCCAGAACCAATTTGGAATGATTTACAGTGTGTTAAAAACATGTATTCTTCGTTGAGATAATAAAATTGTGTTTTTTACGATTGGAAGACAATATTTGAATTGATTCTTTAAATAGTATTTATTTTAAAAGTGGGTATTAAACATTCTAGATTATATACAGGGTATTGCAAAAAAAATGGCAATTATAAATTATTATATTATTTAAAAATTACTGCGCCAAAACATGTGATTTTATAAATAT